GGGGGGGGGGGGGGGGGCAAGTGGCCCACTGCAAGTCAGACAAAATGTCTTGACAGGCCAGATCCAGCCCTGGGGCCAATATTTTATTCACTCCTGGGTTATGGCCAGGTACGGATGGAGAACTCAAACCTAAATCCTGGAAGTGAAGGAAAGCTACCGCAAAACATGTCAAACACATCAAGCAGAGAAACCAGCACATAACATTTTACCAACACCAAAAAGATACAGCTTAAGTTTAAATCTAATTAGTGATGCGCCAATCAACCAGTTATAGGTATGGACCCAAATTTGGGGAATCCTCAAGAGCAAAGGGAAAGAAGCGCAGCCAGAGATCCCTGGCATTCGAAGGCACTGGCAGCCAGAAGTATCCAGGAATTTTGTCTCTAACTTGTCCCTGTTGTTAACACCACCTCCTCCTGGGATGCCTTATTGGCAACATAACAGAAGAAGGGGTTTGTAAAGGTGGAAGGGCTAACCTATATCCTTGTCTTTTAACACATCACTGTCTGGCATGCATGCCCTACAGACACAGATGATAGCTGTAGCAGAAGCAGAGGATACCATGCCTTCTTTCTGCATATTCTCTACCTACAGCTACACCCGCCCTGTGCAGACACATGTTTGCTCAAGGGACTTCTCTTTCAGGCTTCAGTGCTGCGGGAGGGAGGCCCAGAATAGAAAGCGGATAGCAGCAGAAGGGAGAGGATGCAAATTTCAAGGACAGTCAGGCACCAAAGTCTTCTCTTAGAGAACTCAGGACTGATGCCCATTTTGGTTTTACACCCATGTCTGCATATATGGAGCGACCTCAGATTTACACCAATGTAAATGAGACCAGAATCAGGCCCCTTGGGTCTGAAGTAGGATGCTACTCCCAACCCCACTTCTTGTCTTAGCATCTTTCGTGCATTCTTCCAGGACTCCCAGCTGTTCTCTCTGGAGCTCTCTGTTGAGAGCTTTTTTCCCCCCGGTCTGTACTCTCCTTCCACTGGACTCCCTCTGTTTATCCAGCTGTTGGTGGTACTGAAATAGGCTGCCCCTTGCCCAGATTTAACAGTGGAGAAAAAGCAGAGGAGACTCATCTCCTGCACTTTCAGTGTGGTTAGGAGATCCAACCTGTCCCCCCTTTTCAGTTCCCTGACTGCTCTCCTCCTCCTCTTGCTAAAAGGATTCGGCAGACACGCACCCTTGCCTTAGGCCAGTGGCTCTACTTGATCCCCCCGCCCCATCAACGGAGGATGTTGATCTTCTCACGAAGAGGCCAGAGGGCTCACCATACCTAGATGCTCACTTGAGCTACACTCCTGCAGTAAAGGGGAGGCTACTTTCCTGCCGTTTGCCCTGATGTCTTCCTCAGCAGCTGACTGATGATCTGGCCTGGGATTGACGGTCTTCCCTAGATATCCTTCCACCTCTTGCTCTTTTCTCTTCCTCTTCTTCAGAACATCCATGGTATGAAGTGAGACTGCCAGTGGCTTTGAGAAGAAATAGAGCTGGCTTTAAGGGTCCCTGGGCTCTGGCCAGGCTGAAGCTGAGGAAACACAACCACTTTGTAAGACTACCTGAGGGTTATCGTTATTCATCCTTAAAGGTCTTCTGAGCCTACTGGGCTTAAGCCTCCAACTTCTCAGACACTAAAGTATGGGTTCCTATTAGGGACCATGCCTCTTTTTTTCCCCCCATCCATGCTTCCTTCCCTCCAAACCCCAACGTGCAACAAAGGAAGAGCGTCTACATGGCTTTGCTGCTCACAGCACAAGAAACCAAGGTCAAAGCATTTGGATTCTGCATCTTTCAGACATGGATGGAAGTGGCCTTTGGCAGGCATCGCATTATGCCAGTGATGCGGCTGTCGTGCCTACCTGATCTGCTTTGCCTCTCCACTCTGCCGTGCCGACAAACTCCAGAGGGGCTTCGACTCTGCAGCTCAAGAATGGGAGCAGCAGAATCCTCAACAACAGATAAAGGGGAGAGCTGCCTACTCATGCCACTGCGTGGGCTGGGGCACTTGCCTCCGGCTTTGCATCGGATGACAGATGATCGGGAGGCACCTGAGAAGAAAGAGTTTGCATCAGTGTGACTGTAAACTCCTGCGGGGAAAAAAGCGCTCTGGGGGTTTTCAGACCCCTCGACAGGGAAATGCATACACGTTTCATGGGGGAGGGAAGTACATTGCAATAATCGTGGCCTTGCCCGGCCAAAGAAAAAAAATGCAATTCTTAACTCTTCCCTACCTTATACAGGTGCTTTATGATGATACCGTTATCCCGAGGGAATAAGAGCCCTACACCGTAGTATAGTCTTAGCTACCAGGTGCCATCCACGCAGGCTGCACAGTCAGTCAAAGGCATTTGTACTCACGTGGGCCCCTCCTGGGCGCTGGCACTGAAACAGGCAGCAGTAGAGGACACTGGTTCCTCACGTTGGGAGGAAAGTGCCTTGAGATGACTGTGCTGGTGTCACTCTTGATTGCTGTGCGAGAGGATAATTTCCTCTCCGTATCCGTCAGGATGTTTCACCCCCAGTACGTGGGGTTCTTGACAACTGCAGGGCTCGTGATGCCTTGGAGATGTGGATGACTTATGTAGCTGGAAGCAGTTCAGTTTTAAGGCTTCAGGGCACCAGAATGCCTTCTGGCATGCTAGGCTGGAGTCTCTGCGTCTTCAGGGAAGTCTCCTACTGCTGGGCGCAGACAACGTCACGATGGAGTCGGTGCCTCTCGCTGGGGTTGTAAAAGAGGTGGAAGGTGGCAAGTAAGGCCCAGATCCATGAAATATTGGTGGCATGTGAAATTCAGTTTGCCGCTGAGGAAGACACCGTATTCACTAAGCAAGAGCTTGAAGGAGTGCGTTAACAGGCAGATGGCTGAGAAGACGGAGAGCATCCGCCCGGTCGTCTGAATCTGGCTGTCATCTCTACGGTGAATATGGGGAGTGTCTCATACAGACTTGCAGATTTATTTTAGCCTGGAGGTTCCTCGGGGTTGTCAACAGACAAGCAACACGTAACAGTCTCCATCTCAATCACAGATCATGTGGTATTTGGGTAGATTTAAGACATGCATTTGGTGGGTAGTTGTGGCCGCACTGCACACATTTGTGGTAGCATTCATGCCCAGAGCAGAAGCCCCCAATTTTGCCATTACTGAAAGGGCCACGGTATGACAATTATGCCAACCTTCCTATTTGAATATATACAACCCGCTAGTAAACTGCCAACTGTGCCACAATGCAACAGACTCACAGGAAAATATCTTTCTTTACCTAATTGGCACACATCGCTCTAGCAAGTAATAACATCCAGACATGCAGATGCAGACAAATGCATGCGACAGGGCCCTTGACACAAGTTACACATCTGTCTCATGGGTGAGCTGACTGGAGCACACTTGGCAAATCTCAAGTCATCCTTATAGAAGCACAGAAAACGAGGGCTGGAAGCAACTTTGGGAGGTCGCAAGTAGTCCAACTCCTTGCCCAAACCGGGATCATCCCAAACTAGATGATCCCAGCCAAGGCTTTGTCTTGCCAGGACTTAAAAACCTCCAAGGGTGCTGTAGTGCCACTACTAACATACAGCAAAACACTGGCTATTTGCGTCCAAGCAGGTTCACAGCAGGTTGCTAAATAAGGGACACGCTGCTCAGCTGTTTGATGCAGTTTTGCTTCAAAAGGCCTCATTTCTATGGTCAGCTGGAGCTCGGCAGTGTTCCCACGCAGCTAGTCTGACCGGGGATGCTGCACCCGCTGAAACAGAAGCTGTAGTAATTAGCTGGGGGATCTCAGCAGCACTGTAAAGCTATTTGCTGCAGCTCCCCAGTTATGTTGCAAACCCTCATCTTTGCAGCAGGCTAAAGAACCAAACCCTATGAAGCATCTAGTCCCTAATGCATAATCCAGTAGAAAACAGTGCCAGAACTCGTAATTGTGCTTCGTATGTAAAATCATGCCCTTCTACAGAATGCCCAACCCTCCTCACTTGAGTTTGCAAGTTCAGCTATCATGCATTAGGCAGGAAATAGCAAGAACCATCAGCTACACCTTTAAAATGACGGTCTTCCTCAAACACACGCTTCACAGATGTTAACCAGCCTTCCATTCCCCAAGTCTAGGTATCCGCGTTCTCGGCTGGAGACCGAAACATAGGGCTCGGGACTGGAAGTGATCTCCTGGGTCACAGAGTCTGACCCCCTGCAGCCATGGCATACAATCCCAGGACCTAGCTGAAAGGATCAAGTGGGAATTAACTGGCATTTAGGCCTTACACTGTTGCCTTGCCCCAAGGGCAATGTCACTTTGAAAATCTTCCCTGGTATCTATCTGATATTCCCCAGTACTTTTAAGAAGCCTCCTGTCTTTGTACTGCCCCCCCTCTTTTAATGGCCAGAATCACCATCTAAGCATAGCTCAGTGGCAACAACCCCTAGTTGCCTCGACCCTGACAACTACTTTTTCTCCTTCTCCGTAGCCCTGGCCACGTCTCTTCACCTCTCCAGGCCTCCTCCTCCTCATTTTACAAGTGGGGAGAATATTACTTTCCCCATGAGACAGTAACATTTTGGAAGACACTTTGAGGGTAAGCTGCCCTAATTGCAAAGCACCGCAACGGACCTGGACCAGGTCCATACATGTAGCCACTCAACACCCGACCCTGTAACACTCGACTCTTCCAACACTCACACTTTGAACGCCATATGGCTAACTTGATAAATAATCCGGAGCCTATGTTTTCAGGGAGGCACTAGTGCTTTTCAGGCACAGACCTTGAGGAACTTGGTTTTCAGAAATACCTCTTGGTTAACAAAATAAAACATTGGTCTTTAAGGGTGTCTTATTCAAAATCACTGGTCACTCTGGAAAATGTTGGCTGGGACTTTTTTTTAAAAAAACAACAACTATGAAAAGGGGTATTCTGTAGAAGTGCATCTCACAAAAGTATTTCCAAGATAGAGAGAGACCAGTCACACCTCAATCCATGACCTCCTCTGTAATGCTAGCCTGACATGATTGCACTTGGCAGGAGCTTCATGAATGATCTCCAAGCAAAATCTTCGGAAAATGTTTTCCCCCTTCACGCAGATAAAGTCCCTGGTTATTTATATCCACCATAACAAAGCAGAGCCAATTTTTTTCTGTGTGTTGAGAAGCACGGCAGCTGAGACTGGGATTGCAGTGTAAGAGACCATATTTAATTTGAAGTCACTGTTTAATTTAGCGAAACCTTCCTGGACATTCAAGAGCAATTGGGTCACACAACAGTTTATTAACACTTCTTTATTATAGCCAGGAAGTCTCAGATCATGCTATTTCGTGCTGCTGGTCCTAAATATAATTTCAAGGATCTACTCCGACATGGAAGTAAATATGCATGCCAGATCTATACATACTGCTTCATTAGTGGCAAGGGCAACAACTTGCAGCTTACACAATACACCAAGAAGGCTCTGAAAATAATTTTGGAGCCTGCATACACCTGAGTGCACTCTGTTACCACTGGCTCACATGCGACGGGTCAAAAGCAACGTTTGCATAGTTACTACTCTTTTTTTATTTTTTTTCAGAAGTAATCACAGATAAGTCAGGCTGGAAGGGACTTCACAAGGTGACCTAGTCCAGCCTCCAGCTCCAGGCAGGACTGTCCCAGGCTCAACCAACCCAGCAAAACATTTGGAGACTCTACAACTTCTCTCAGTAGCCAGTTTCATTGCTTGGCCACCTTCATAGTCCACATATTCCTCCTAAACTCCAACATACATTTCCTCTGCTGCAGCTTGCTGTAGATTCCTCTGCAATGCAATTCCTCTGCATTGCTTCTTGGCCCTGTCCTTCTGGATCATGGAGTATGCATGAGAGGTCACCAGGACCCTTGATGCAGACGCTTAGGCACGAGTATGGAGGAGTGGAGGCTGCCCAGACCTTCCAGCCCTCCTTTAGACCATTGAGACATAATCCCCAAAGGCCAGACTATGTCCAGACGTTCGCTACCTCGATGGCCATAGTTATATGCGCATCTAGGAATTGGACCTGGCTTTTCTGTGTGGCAGGCAAGGCTTCTACCACTGAATCACAACCCAGGTGCTGGGCAA